ACCGCACGTCTCGCTCTGACAGCAGCAGCAGCCAGCGCAACCGTAAAGCGTCGGCATGCGCGAGGCTCGCGTCTTCCCGACCGCCGGAGCCGGAAGTGGAGGTCCAAGACGCCCGACGCCCGGCCACCACGTTCCCTTCCGTAGGTACAACAGATCGACGTGGCGAAGTTCGCGGCCTGGCCGCTTCGGGTACGAAAAAAAGTGGTGGAAAGCGAGACATGGCAGAGGGCGGGAGCAGGGAAGACATGGGAGGGTAAGCGAGCGGCGGGCGCGGGAGGGTAAGTGGGGAGGGGGAGGGGGAGGGGGTGGAGCTGGAGACAGGCGGGTCGGTCCAGCGAGAGCGCGCGGCGGCCAAAAGCACCCAGTTCGAATAATTAATAAGAAATTACGAGTGCCGCCCTCTCAGCTTTTTAATTACAGCTGCAACCGTCGACGGCCGCCGCCGCTCGGTCGGCTGGCGCGGCCAACGGCACCGTCGCAAGCTGTTTGCGCTTCTCGGAGGGGATGGGCGTCTGTAGCAGCCGGATCGCACATCGCATATACTTTAACCACCTCCACCGGCAAAATCCAGTTTTGAAAGCTTACCAGAAACCCAATTGACATATCACACCCTGTATCAGGAGACAAACTTGTGGTTTTAAACTGAGTGGTACGGTAAACCAGAGGGTCTGCTTCGTAACCTAACCAGTAAGTACACAGTAATGGTCTTTTGTTAAAAAATTTAAATTTTCAAATTAGAAACTAAAGTTGTTGCTGTTAGTAAACTATCGTGGACCTCAAACACATTTCTTCCGTAAAGTTACGGGCAACATACATCAACCTACGACAGTAAAAATTGAACAGCGTACTTGAGTACTAAAAAGAAAAGGATAGTTGAAGCACACTGTAAATCCTACTTCATAACTCTGTTTTTCATTCATTAATTGAGATTACGATAGACCAAACACAAACTTATGTGAATATATATCTCCAAACAGCACCAACATTTTCCACAACCGAACAACTACAGTTAAAGTTTATATAAGTGGATTTAGTGTCGTGATGCTATTTGGCTTGTGGTGAAGCGTCTCAGCTGAGGCAGAGCTTGTATCTGAGGTCCCCAGCCGAAAACAGTCCTCAAGAACTTCTGAGGTCTGAAGCAAGTTGCCTCAGCTGAGGCGCCTCACCATGAGGCAAATGGTCTCTACAGACTAAATCCAACCAAAATTTGTTAAATCTTTTTACACTTACCTTCGATGACATGAGGAAACAGTAGATTCTGGATTCAACATTCATCATCAATCTTTGACAAAAGTCCACTACATGAGATGACATAACCTCAGCGGCACTTCTCCGCGCTCGACCAAATCACAAAGTTTCCGTGCCGTCTTATTCCGTGAATTCCGTGGCAACAAATAGATCCGGAATAGAATAGACCACATTCTCACTAGTATTTTCTATCAAGCAAGCTGTTAAATCGAATTAATTTCAATCATTGCGTTGAAATAAAAACGTGGCGGGCGAACGACGTCACTTTCACTTATCGGGGGAGACCAGTTCCGGTGACTGTACTCGTAAACTGATTGGTTTCTGCAGTAAAATAGTTGGCGGTGTTTTCGACTGCTGCCAACAGCATCGGCCTCAATACTTTGGTAAAAACAGCATCACAAAATCTTAGTAGCCTACGTTTTTCATTTTTATAGCGGCGATGGTCTGGAAACGTCGGTGTAGAATAAAAATCATACGTCATTCATTCAACAAATAATAACTCTAAAGGTCGGTTAAACCTGCTGCAAGACGGTTCGGAAGGGACGGGGAGTAAGAGGGGCGGGCG